AGTGTATGTTTAGTTGAACTTCCCCACCTGTAACCCGAAAACATGATAGAGCATTTAGCAGTGCCTCAGCCTCCAGGTTTTACTGTTACTAGGAAAGACACGAAACTAAGTATTCTGGGCACCAAATAACAATATCTCATTTCCAAAGGAAGCAGCTTGAAAGTTCAAGCAAACCTGCAGAAGCTGAAAGCGGAGCTCTTCCTATCTCTACTAGCCAGTTGTATGGCTATGACACGCAATTTGCCAAATACGTATCTCTCTTCTTTCCCTTTTAATTGTTATTGCTATTTGGACCAATTTTCAAACTTAGGAAAAGTGAGTGATGTCAGTAATGTGCAAATATCATATTAGTGAAACGAGTTAATGGGAAAAAACCCAAGTGAGGTGAGGCATGGCACTAACACAGCTGTTATGCAGCCCTGGCAAACTCATGGAACCACTGGAGGACGGGCACAGGATGGCTCTCTACACCATTCTGCACTGAGGAAGAAATCACGGAGCAGGCAACTCTAATGCTGTGCAGTGAAGGGATCTAATTAAGTGCTGAAATTAAAGCAGAACATACTATTACATTTAATAACGCCTTATGACCGTTCTGGATACTAAATGAGTAACAGCGGTTACTTGAAAACTAAGTCTGACAGGAACTTAAAAAAGAAAAAAAAAAAAAGCAGCTCCTCTGGTTGGTGCTCTGCAGATGTCAGACTGTTTTTCCTATCCATTTATAGGTCGCACTTGGATGTGCAGCAGGCCACCGTCCGCGCCCGTGGTCGGAGACCCATAGTTGCAACACCTCGACCCTCAGCCCGCGGAGGCCCAGCACGTGGGGAGCCACGTGGTGCGTCGGGCCGAGGCCGCACTACCTCCGCCAGCGTGCCCCGTCCGTCCCGGCGGAGCGGGCTTCGGGAGAGATTTAAAAAGACAGAAATCGTTAAAAAAAAGAAAGAAAAACCAGAACGCTTTTATTCCACCCACGTCCCGCCGGCCCCGGGGCTCGCCTTACCCGCGCTTCCCCGCCGCGCGGCGCCGTTCCCGGCCCACACCGCCCGCCCTGCCCCCGCCACGCGGTGCCCGCGCCGCCGCCCGCCCCAGAGCAGCGCGGAACCGCCGAACCGCGCCCCGAAGGAGGCCGCCACCGCGCGGAGAGCGACACGGGACAGCCCCCGCCCGGCCGGGCCTCCCATCCCCCAGAGCGGTGCGGGCTCCCCGGCGCCCCCCGCAGCCCGCCTGCGCCCGACTCACCACCACCTCTCGGCCGTCCCGCTGCATCCTGCGCCCTCCCGGCGCCCTCCGGCCCCACTCCCCGCCCCGAACCCGGCCGGCTCCGCTTTCCCGCGCGCTAGGCCGGAGTGCGCCAGCGCCATCATCCCGCCGCCATCTCCCGCTCCCGGCCCGTCACCCGGCCCTCCCGCCCTGCATGGCCGTTACCTGCAGACTCCGAACCCCGCTGCGGCAGAAGCGCGCCCGCACGTCGCTAGGCCCCGCTGGCTGCCGGCCGTACCCGCCGCTCCCGGATCCCTTCTGGCTGCGCCACACGCGGCTTGCACACGGCCCAACGCGCTCTCCCCTAGATGGCCCCGCCCGTCCCTACAACTCTGCACACGGCTCGCTCGAGTCCACCTCTCAGCCAATGAGTGAAAACGTTTTTCCGGATGGCCAATCAGAGTTGAGAACGTAAACAACCAATCATCGCTGCCGGAAGGCGGGAAGAGCCGTGTCCCCCCCCCC